TGACATTTGTGTCATCCCACTGGAAAATCCTATATTTTCTTTACTTAACTTCCTCTCACACTGAATATACTGAATATTTGTTTTAAATAAATCATTCATAATAAACAACAGAAAGATTTATCCATACTGAAACTGATGGTTTACTACAGCCACACTGAAGTTGCAGAGCCACACCGCTCTCGAGAGAACCTCATGAAGCCTATTCGCTTATTCTCTCTGTAGTGGACACACAGATCACAAAAAAGGTTCAACTGAAAGATTATTTTTCCCCCTCGGTTCTCAACAGGATGTCCGTGTGGCTGTATCATTCAGGTTGTCAGATCTGCAGACACCTGTGTGGAGCTAAAGGTGTGTAGAAGGAATCAAACCAAGGCTCAAGGTCATTCTGGAGCAGAGAACATGCATCTGCAGTTTAATGCCACTTTACTTTAGTGCTAATTCATGCAAACTGGCAAAAGCTGAAGGTTTTTCTTTTATGTTTCTCACTTTCTGGAAACCAGCTGACTGAGAGACTCAAGTGTTGCATTACCAGTTTGAAAACACAAAGACAGAACCAAGTCTTTTGCTGTGATTCTTTTCCAGTTCATCGGGGATCTGCTGTAGAGGATTACAGTCAGTATCCTGTATGAGAGCTGAGCAACAGCTGCTTGGTTTAAGAGTCTGACAGAAGTCTGTCCAGTCACACACGTGGAAGTTATTTATTGCAGCTTCATGTTGTTGTGGCGATGAGATGATTATAAACTGCAGTTATTGTGCTTGATAGAAATGTCGCAGCCTCCTGCCAACAATAATAAACATAAACTCAATGAGAAGGCCTTCAAACATTTGGAAAACACTGTATATGGACAAGTAAACGACTTTTCTGAAAGAAGCCCGCGTCCTCCTGCAGGCTCACTGAGTGGGGGTTAAAGGCAGCCTGTGAAGGGGCCTCGGTGGGGCATGCTGAGAACAACACAATACAGAGAGTCTGGGCTTTGAAACCATTCAGAGAGCAAGTCTCCTCAGTGCAGATGTAACGACCAGAAGAGAAGTGGTAAAAGTCTGGTGCTTTTTAAGTTCTTCAGTCCAAATAAAATCATTTCTTTCACCTTCCAAGCCTCTGCTGGCCGTGGCTCCGTGTGCAGAGAGGAAACTTTTTAGCTCAAGTGACTTTCCTGGAATTGTGTCCCAGAGAAATTAAAGACAGCATGCTGTGAAGAAAACATGCTCTTGGTGCTGGTACATACAGTGTATATTAGCTGTGGGCGCAGTTCTTGCTAGAACAACTGAGCGAGCATTAGCTGACCTCACCATCAGTGTAATTCGCCCTGTGGTTCATGGGTAGAGCCCACATCGTGAGAGGAGAAGGAAAAGCTGTTCCCGAGGAACAAAAGCCGTACGGCAGCAGACCAAAACGTAAAGCTCATTAATCAGACACACTGCTGTGAACCTGAGGAGAAGCTGTGCAGCCACAGAGTGAGACTGACGGCAGTGTGAGGCTGTCACGAGACACAATCAGGTCCTGTGTTCAGTCTGGAAGCTGTGAGCCTACTCCAACAGCTGTTGTGCTTTCTTTCTGTTACACCAGTAAAATAGGTTCACATTAGACGTGTTCAAATAAGAGTTGTGGTTATGTGCAAGTGCTCCTTGTTAGTCTGCTAAGTTTCATGCCATTTTTTCTACAACTGTATCTGTGTGATGTCACTGAGAGCAGCTATTTATTTCTCCGCCATGTTGAATCAGGTTACGGACTTTCTTCTCTGGTTCTCTCCGGTTAGACTAAATGAAACTCTCATCATGCTTGTCAGAGACCTGAGCGCTGTTTCAAAGCTCTACAATGATTTTAATGGCATCTGTTGCAGGTAATTGGTTTTGGCTGGTATCTCTGACTCGGCACTTCACTGGTTTTCCTCCTGTTTATCTGGAAGGACGTCCTCTGTTGGAGGGAGCGAGTTCTCCTTTTACACATGGAGTTCCACAAGGAGTAATCCTGGTTATTATTGTCCGTTTACATGCTTCCTTTAGCCGGTATCATTCTTGTATTTGGCATTTCTTATTATTTCTATGCTGATGACATTCAGGTTTATGTGGCTTTTAAGTCTGATGAGCTGGATCGGCTCTGAACTTTGACTCATATATAAAACTCTACCAAGTTCCCATTTCTTTAATTTGAGGAATATTTCTAAATCGTGAGCGATATTCTCGTCCTCTGAGCTAGACAAAATTGTTCATCCATTTGTGTCATCGCACCTAGTGTGTGTCAACGTGCAGATTTTACTTCTGATGCTTTACGCTAGGGCTGGGTTTTGATGATCGATTTATCGATTAAAATCGATTCTGGCTTGGATAACGT